CCCCCCCCCCCCCCCCCCCCCCCCCCCCCCCCCCCCCCCCCCCCCCCCCCCTTTTTTTTTTCTCCTCCACCCCTGCTGCGGGTGCAGCAGTGGGGGGAGGGGATCTGCAGCAGCAGTGAGGGGAGGGGAGTTGCAGCATCAGCCCCCCCCCCCCCACTTCTCCTCCATCCCCCTGCTGCGGGTGCAGCGGTGGGGGGAGGGGATCTGCAGCCCTGTGCTGCCCTGCAGCCCTGCGCGCCCTACGCGCCCTGCTGTCCTGCTGCCCTGCAGCCCTGTGCGCCCTGCTGCCCTGCTGCTGCCGCTACAGCCCTTGCTGTTGCCGCTACAGCCCTTGCTGCTGCCCTGCGCGCCCCGCGCGCCCTGCAGCCCTGCTGCGCCCTGCGCGCCCTGCTGTCCTGCTGCCCTGCGCGCCCTGCGCGCACTGCAGCCCTGCGCGCCCCGCGCGCCCTGCTGCCCTGCTGCCCTGTGCGCCCCGTGCGCCCTGCAGCCCTGTGCGCCCCGCGCGCCCTGCAGCCCTGCTGCGCCTTGTGCGCCCTGCTGTCCTGCTGCCCTGCGTGCCCTGCGCGCACTGCAGCCCTGCGCGCCCCGCGCGCCCTGCTGCCCTGTGCGCCCCGCGCGCCCTGCAGCCCTGTGCGCCCCGCGCGCCCTGCAGCCCTGCGCGCCCCGCGCGCCCTGCTGCCCTGCAGCCCTGTGCGCCCTGCTGCCCTGCAGCCCTGTGCGCCCTGCTGCCCTGCTGCTGCCGCTACAGCCCTTGCTGTTGCCGCTACAGCCCTTGCTGCTGCCCTGCGCGCCCAGCGCGCCCTGCAGCCCTGCTGCGCCCCGTGCGCCCTGCAGCCCTGCGCGCCCTGCGCGCCCTGCTGTCCTGCTGCCCTGCGCGCCCTGCGCGCACTGCAGCCCTGCGCGCCCCGCGCGCCCTGCTGCCCTGCAGCCCTGTGCGCCCTGCTGCCCTGCAGCCCTGTGCGCCCTGCTGCCCTGTTTGCCCCGCGCGCCCTGCTGCCCTGCAGCCCTGTGCGCCCTGCTGCCCTGCTGCCTGTGCACCCCACGCGCCCTGCAGCCCTGTGCGCCCCGCGCGCCCTGCTGCCCTGCTGCCCTATGCGCCCTGCTGCTCTGTGCGCGCCCTGCTGCCCTCAGCACGCGCCATGCACAGCCCCCCCCCCACCCCCCCCCGCCCCAACCCCCCCCCCCCCCCCCCTCCCCCTCCCTTCTCCTTCCTTCCCCTGCTGCAGGTGCAGCGGTGGGGTGGGGGTATGGGGGTGGCGGGTGTGGGTGCAACTGCGGGGTGGCGGGTATGGGGGTGGCGGGTGTGTGCACCGTCCCCTTCTCCTCCTCCACCTTCGTCTCCCACTGCTGCAGCTGCCGCTGAGGGGGGTAGGTGTGTGGGAGCCGAGGGAGTGGTTCTAGGGGGGTGATGTGGGAGTGGAGCTAGGGGTGCAGCAAGGGGTGTGTGAAAGAGGGGTGGGACAGTTGGGGGAGGTTGAGCGGAAGCTGCCGTCTTGTCGTCCGCAGCACCTGTAGTCCGGGGCTCTGCTTCTGGTAGCTCAGAGAGCCTGCTGCGTCTGTCGCCTATGGGTCCGTTGCTCCTGTCGCTTAGAGTTAGCCGCAGAGCCAGTTACTCCTGTAGTCCGGGGATACGGCTCCGGTAGCCACAGTGCGCGCCGCTCCTGTTGCCCGTGTGTCTGCAGCATCAGCCGTCGCCTCCTATCTACTCTCCTCTTACAGTCCAGCCTCCTCCTCACTTGCCCTTTGTGAATGCCTCTATCTTTGCTTGTACTTGTGAACTGGCCTTTTGGCCCTTTGCTTGTGCTCGGACTGTGTGGTGACTTTGTGATCCACCCTGAGCTTGCTTTGCTTTGCTTCTTCTTGACTGGTCTTGTGACCATTGCTTGTTCTGGCTATCCCCCACTTCACCTATGGGGGTGTGTCAAACATATATGCCTAGTTATATCTAGGCTTAGTTTATGTGTTTATAGTTGTCTAGGCTATAGTGGGTTTAGCCTTAGGGGGTACAAAGTTTCTCTCGAAATTCTACTTGTACCCCTTCCCTTTTCCTAGTCAATCATTCTCGCCTACGATTCTAACAAGAATGTTGCTATGTTTGATCTTGATTTCGATGCTATCCTTGCTGCCATGTATGCTGTGACTGATAGTGCTGAGGGTGACTGTTACCTGTGTGTTCCCCCCGACCCGGGCATTGAGGCTGCTGCTCTAGGTACTGGTGAGTCTGCTGCTCCAGGTACTGGTGAGTCTGCTGCTCCAGGTGCTGGTGAGTCTGCTCTCTCTGGTACTGCACCTACTGAGGCCTTGCACACTTTCACACTTGACTCTGGTGCTTCGCGCTCCTTCTTTCGCGACAGCACCACACTCACGCCGCTCAGTCGGCCTGTCGCAGTCTCCCAGGCTGACCCCTCTGGGGGCCCAATCCTTGCGCACTCTTCCACGGTTCTACCGTGTCCTGCGGCCCCGTCGGGCTTGCTGTCGGGACTCCACCTCCCCTCGTTCTCTACGAACTTGGTGAGTGGAGCTGACCTTCGGGACGCGTGGGTTGACCAGTTCACCCCTGGAGGTCAGCGTGTGACCCACTGCACTTGCTCTCGGACGGGCCGCCACCTGGCCACGTTCACCCGTCGGCCTGGGTCGAGTCTGTACACACTGACTACTGCGTCTCCTCCGGTTACTGCGTCTGTTCAGGTAGCCGCATCTAGTCAGGTGTTTGCTGCTGCGTCCAGGTCTAGTTCGGCGTCTGCCCCCTGCTCGTGTCGTCCTCTGTCGCACGAGACTCTCCTTTGGCACCACCGCCTTGGTCACCCCTCCCTGCCTCGTCTTCGAGGTATGGCCTCCCGTACCCTTGTCTCTGGTCTCCCCCGGTCCCTCCCTCCCCTTCCTCCGGGGCCTGCCCCTACCTGCATTCCTTGCGTCTAGGGGCGGCAGCGCGCCGCTCCTCACTCCTCCGAGTTCCCTCCGACGGAGGCTCCCCTGCAGACTCTTCACATGGACGTGTGGGGCCCAGCCTGCGTCCGTGGACAGGGTCACGAGCGTTACTTCCTGCTGGTCGTTGACGACTACTCGCGTTACACCACAGTCTTCCCCTTGCGCTGCAAGGGTGAGGTCACTGAGGTGTTGATCGACTGGATCCGCGGTACCCGTCGCCAGCTCAGCGAGAGTTTCGGCTCGCACCTTCCTGTTCTGCGTCTGCACTGAGACAGAGGTGGTGAGTTTTCCTCCGACCTTCTGCGGGCTTTCTGTCGTGCGAAGGGCATCCGCCAGACGTTCACGCTTCTGGCCTCCCCACAGCAAAATGGGATTGCTGAGCGCCGCATTGGCATGGTCATGGACGTCGCTCGTACGTCCATGATCCATGCGGCTGCTCCCCATTTTCTATGGCCATTCGCGGTTCAGTACGCTGCGCATCAGATCAACCTTCAGCCTCGCGTCTCCTTCCCGGATACCACACCTACTCTGCGGTGGACGGGGAAGGTTGGCGATGCGTCTGTGTTCCGTGTCTGGGGATCTCGAGCTTTTGTCCGCGATGCTTCCGCGGACAAGCTGTCCTCCCGTGCCGTTCCCTGCGTCTTCCTTGGCTTCCCCCCTGACACACCTGGGTGGCAGTTTTACCACCCCACCTCGCGTCGTGTTTTGTCCTCTCAGGTTGTCACGTTTGACGAGTCGGTATCTTACTACTGTCTCTTTCCCTACCGCACTGCACCTCTCGCCCCCCCACCACTCTTCCTAGCACCAGGTGCTCCTCCTGTCAAACTTATATCTGCTATAGTCTGTTTAGGCTGTAGTGGGGTAGTTCCTAGAGGGTACAACACTTTTGTGTTCTCTACTTGTACCCATCTCGTTTCTAGTTCAATCATTCATTCCTCAATTCTCACATGGTATAGAGCTAGTTTCGATTTTTTCCTAAGGGTCCACCACTGAAAATATTTTTTTTCCTTACCTGCCTGACGCGCGCGTCGCGCCTGCCCTTCACGGCCCGTAGTGGCCCCCTTGAGGCCCGTAGCGGCCCCCTTGAGGCCCGTAGCGGCCCCCTTGAGGCCCGTAGCGGCCCCCCTTGAGGCCCGTAGCGGCCCCCTTGCGGCCCGTTAGGCCCTTTCGCGGCCCGTCGCGGCCCCCTTCGCGGCCCGTCGCGGCCCCTTCACGGCCCGTAGTGGCCCCCTTGAGGCCCGTAGCGGCCCCCTTGGGGCCCATAGCGGCCCCCCTTGCGGCCCGTTAGGCCCCCTTGCGGCCCGTAGTGGCCCCTTTCACGGCCCGTTAGGCCCCTTCGCGGCCCGTTAGGTCCGTCGCGGCCCCCCTTCGCGGCCCGTTAGGTCCGTCGCGGCCCCCCCTTCGCGGCCAGTTAGGTCCGTTGCAGCCCCCCCCTTCGCGGCCCGTTAGGCCCCTTCGCGGCCCGTTAGGTCCGTCGCGGCCCCCTTACGCGGCCCGATAGGCCCCTTCACGGCCCGTTAGGCCCGTCGCGGCCTCTTCGCGGCCCGCCCCGGCCCTTCCCCGGCCCCTTTCGCGGCCCGTTAGGCCCCGTCGCGGCTTGTCGCGGCCCCTTCGCGGCCCGTTAGGCCCGTTGCGGCCCTCTTCGCGGCCCGCCCCGGCCCTTCCCCGGCCCCGTCCCGGCCTTGTCCCGGACCTGCCCCGACCCAGGCCCTGCCCCGACCCTGTCGCGGCCCCGTCCCGGACCTGCCCCGACCCCGGCCCTGCCCCGACCCTGTCGCGGCCCCGTCCCGGACCTCCCCCGACCCTGGCCCTGCCCCGGCCCCGTCGTGGCCCCGTCCCGGACCTACCCCGACCCTGTCGCGGCTCTGTCCCGGACTTGTCGCGGCCTCGCCCCGGCTCTGCCCCGGCCCTGCCCCGACTCTGCCCCTGCCCTGCTCCTACGCTGTCGCGGCCCTGCCTCGGCCCGGCCCCGGATCTCTTGCGGCCCGGCCCCGGCCCTACCCCGGACCTGTCCCAGTCCTGCCCCGACCCTCCCCCGGCCCTGCCCTGGCCTCGCCCCTGGTAAGCGCACCGCCGAGCCGAGCCGCGCTGCCGAACCGCACTGCTCCACCGTGCCGTGCCGCCCTGTCGAGCCGCCCTACCGAGCCGCGCTGCCCTGCTTAGCCTACTTAGCTGAGTTGCACTGCTGCTGCTGCTAGCCTACTGCTGCTGCTGTCATGGCTAGTCTCAGTGTCCTTACTTTTGATGCTGAGGGTCGAGCAGTTGACTTTGAGGTCTGGCTAGATGATCTACAGCTTTTCCTACAGTGCGATAGCAAGGACGGTCTCTCACTGTTCGATCTCACGTCTGGCGCCTCTACTGCCCCTGCTGCTGATGCTGACAGTACTGTTCGCTCGCAGTGGACCACACGCGATGCTGCTGCCCGCCTTGCTGTGCGTAGTCACCTACCGTCTACTGAGCGCGCGCACTTTAGTTAGTTCAAGAGAGCTAAGACTCTGTACGACGCTGTAGTTGCACGCTACAGCTCCCCTGCCACTGCTGCCCTCAGCCGCCTCATGCTGCCGTACCTTTTTCCTGACCTTGACGCCTTTGCCACAGTTGCTGACCTCACTGCTCACATTCGCACCAGTGACGCCCGCTACCGTGCTGCCCTTCCCACTGCGTTCCTTCCCACGAACTCCCCCCCCATGTACATCACCCTTTACTACCTAGTCACCCGCCTCCCTGACTCTCTCTCTTCAGTCAGGGACCACTTTCTCTCCCTTTGCCCCACCGAGCTGACTGTTGACTTGCTAGAGGAGCGCCTTGCTGCAGCTGAGAAGAGTATCTTAGCTGTAGGTGCTTCTCGCGGCGACCGTCGCACCCCTTTCTTTGAGGGGTGTTCCCCTGTCCCCCTTCTCCCCTCTGTTGCCTCTGCTGCTGCTGTCGACCTCGTTGGCACTGAGGAGGTCGGCGCTGCGTCTGCCTCTAGTGGGCGACGCCGCACCGGCAAGGGCAAGGGAAGCAGGGGTGGTGGAGGGGGCGGTGGGGGAAGCGGTGGAGGCGGTGGAGGAGGTGGAGGTGGTGGTGGGGGTGGTTCCGGGAGTGGGGGAGTCGGTGGCGGCAGTGGAGGCCGTGGCGGCGGTGGCGGAGGGGGTGGAGGCGGCGGCAGCGGTGGTGGAGGTAGCGGAGGAGGTGGTGCTGGTCGCGGTGCAGCCACGCAGCGTGGAGGCCTTGGTGGCAGCCAGCGCCAGCAGCAGCAGCGCACCCGTGAGACCCCGTCGGTTCAGCAGCTTCGTGAGTGGTACGCTGGGCGTGGGAGGTCTGGGGGTGCGGGTCCCTGCTCTTACGTTCTTCGCACCGGCACTCGGAGTGGGGAGGTGTGTGGTCTCCCACATACCACGCAGCGCTGCTTTGGCCGCTTGACTGACGCTTGGCGTGCCCAGTTTCCTGACGCCGTTGAGCTTCCTCGTTGGCATGATCTGCTTCTGCAGAATGTGCCTATCTTTGATCTAGACTTTGATGCTATCCTTGTTGCCATGTATGCTTTTGCTGATATTACTGAGGGTGACTGTTACCTGCGTGTCCCGCCCGACCCGGGCACTGTGGCTGCTGCTCTAGGTGCTAGTGCGGCTGCTGCTCTAGGTGCTAGTGCGTCTGCTGCTCCAGGTGCTGGTACGTCTCCTCTCTCTGGTACTGCACCTATTGAGTCCCTTCACACTTTCACACTTGACTCTGGTGCTTCGCGCTCTTTCTTTAGAGACAGCACCACGCTCACGCCGCTCAGTCGGCCTGTTGCGGTCTCCCTTGCTGACCCCTCCGGGGGACCAGTCCTTGCACACTCCTCCACGGTTCTACCGTGTCCTGCGGCCCCGTCGGGCTTGCTGTCGGGACCCCACCTCCCCTCGTTCTCTACGAAATTGGTGAGTGGAGCTGACCTCCAGGACGCGTGGGTTGACCAGTTCACCCCTGGAGGTCAGCGTGTGACCCACTGCACTTGCTCTCGGACGGGCCGCCACCTGGCCACGTTCACCCGCCGGCCAGGGTCGAGTCTGTACACACTGACTACTGCGCCTCCTCCGGTCCCTGCGTCTGGTCAGGTAGCTGCGTCCAATCAGGTGTTTGCTACCGCGTCCAGGTCTAGTCCTGCGTCTGCCCCCTGCTCGTGTCGTCCTCTGGCGCACGAGACTCTCCTTTGGCACCACCGCCTTGGTCACCCCTCCCTGCCTCGTCTTCGAGGTATGGCCTCCCGTGCTCTTGTCTCTGGACTCCCCAGGTCCCTCCC